ATTATTAGTCTTTTAAACAAACAATACAAAAAGATAATTTTTGACAAATATATAATATAAAAGAAGAAAAACTTAACCTAATAACAAAGCCAAATGCAATCTTAAATAGCTTAGAAAAATATTACAAAAACCAATTTAGAAAAAGAAAAACCAAACTTAAAGAAATGCAGAAGAACAAAATAAAGTATACAAACCAAAAGAGTAGATTAATGAAATATAGTACAAGAACCTAGAAGAGAAAATAATAAAAAGAATGTAAAAACATTCTAAAAAAACTTAAAGCTAATACAGTTTTAGGAATATTAGACATAAGCTATATACTAATAAAGCAAGCAGAAAAGAAGTTACAGAAATCTTTAGAACCTTTATAAACCTGGTTTTAGAAAAAGATGAAATATTAAAAAAATAGAAAATAGTACAAATATATCTGATTTCAAAAGATATAGACTGAAAATATTGTCTAAACATCAGTTCAATAGCATTAATTGAGACCTTTAGAAAAGTTGTTACAAAAATAATTATAAAAAGACTAGCTAAGATATTTATAAAATAAGAAATACTTAAGAAACTAAACTTTACAGATTTGTTAGACAACTCAACAAAATAATCTATACATATATTAAATATAATAATAAAAAGGCACAAAAAAAAACCAAAAAATTTTGAATACTGTTACAAAATATGAAGAAGACATTTGACTTATTTCATCTAAAATTCTAAAATAGGCTATAAAAAGAATCAATATACTATAAAAAAAACAAAAAAATATATAAGCAACCTTTTCTGTAAGCAACAACTCAAAGTTATTACAGTCTATAATTTAATAGAAGAGATAATAGCAGAAGATAAAATAGACCAAAAAGAAGTAATTTTACCTCTAATTTGGCATTTCTTTTATAACCTATTACTAGAAAAATTACAAAAAGACAAGATATTAGATTATATTATAAAACTGAAAATAACAAAAAGAGTATATAGTAACAATATTACATAACACAAGCAAGCAGCAATTGCATATGCAAATAACATAACATAAACACAAGCAGTAAAGAACAATTATTAAAAATTCTTAGTAGTACAAAAGATTTTTTCAAAGTAATAATATTGAAATAAATTAAAGCTTATAGTAATAAACATAAAAATTAAAGAAAAAGAAAAAGAAATTATTTTTAATAATAAAAAAATAATAAAAGAACCTAAAAACAAAATTATAAAGTTATTAGAAATCTGGCCAAATAGCAGAATGCAAGAAACACTAGTCTATAAAAAAGCAGATGAAATAGTTAATCAAAAAGTTAAAAATCTAAAATACAAAAAAATAATGATAAGTCAAATTGTATATATAAATAATATAATAATAATTTTTAAGCTAGAATATCTTTTATAGTTAACAAAAATATTAAAAAAAATAATTGATAAAATATAGTAACTATTAATATATTTAACTAAACATAAGTGCAACATAATAAAAATATAATATCAAACTAATCACCTATACATAATTACTAACACTCAAATCTAGATGAGCCTTGGCTATTTTGGTTGGTTTAGGTTGCAGATAAATTAGTCTAAGCTTCTATTCTTTCTATAATATTTTAAAAGCAGAATTGTACTTTATGTAAAATCTCAATTAAATATTCAATAAAGATAGAGGCATGACCTCACTATTAATATTAAAAAAAATATATATATATAGCTAAGTAGATCTCTAATCTATTTCTGAAATAAGTTGGTTTCATTCTTGGTTATATTTTTAAGATAACTATATGCCCAAAATGTAGGTTTTGCAAATATTTTTAATAAAAGTTCTAGTAGAATATTTTATAAAATATTGGTTTTAGAATAGCATATGATATAGATTATAAATATTAATATAGTTGAAGTATAGATTAGAAAAAAGTTTATATTATTTAGTGAGAGAGTTAGCAAGATTGTTCAGATTATTATTTGTATAAGCTTGCACTTTATGAAAGTTGATCTAAAGGTTGTAAGATTTAATAATATTCAATAAGGTGTATATATAAATTATGTATTGAATTTAAAAGGTTTATTAAAATTAAAAAATGTAATATAGATGTTTGAGTATTTAGTAATAATAGATTGGAAATCTGTAAAGATGTTAACTATTGTGTTTCAAGATGTAGTAGAAATAGCTAAAAGAATAGCCACCAGTTCTGCTTTATAAAATGATAACCAGAAGTGTATTTTGACAAAGAATTTGTGAATAATTTAGTTATTATTATTAATCTAAACCTAGCCAATATCTATTGTATATTAGTTAGTCTAATATTAATTACTAAACCATTAGTATAAAAGTTGAATTGTTATTAAGAGTTATTAAGAATTGAATATTGTTTAAGTGTGTTTGCTGCTTTATTAGTTTTGAATATCTCAAATACATAAGAGTTAGAAATTAAAATTGTTAGTACTAGCTTGTAATTAAATGTGAAGCCTTGTAGTTAAGTCTAAGTGCAGTATAATGATGGAAATAGAAATTCCTAGAAGAAGACCCAATTGTAGAATGTAGACACTATGTATAACAAGTGGTTGTTACAGAAGGTTACAATTATAAAAAGATTGCATATATAAGTTTTTCAGACTAGAATAGCATTAACATCTTTATATCTTCTAATATAGGCAGTATCAATATTTTTGCATCCAACTTGTAAGGTACTTGCTTGGAAGGATAATTAACAAATTATACAAACAAATCTTAATTAGGACATAAGAAGTAGATTTGATTAGAAAAGTAGTCTGAAAGTAACCAAGACTGGAATAGTGAAAGAAGCAGTAAACACAAAGATGGGCTGTAGTAAAGAATTGGTCTAACCAAAAATTGGAAGCACTTCTGATATAGCCAAATAATCTAATTATAGAAGAAAAAATCTTGGAGATTGGTATATAACTTTCTTATGCAATGTAAAAGTACCAAATTAGGTTCTGGTCATACCTATATAAAAGTTTATAATGAACAAGACTAGGATTAACCAACCAATGTGAGATAAGATCTACAAGATAATATGGCATCACTAAGGTTAGTATAACTCTCTGAGTATAACTAGAATTGTTCTGCAGATATTATTGAATAAGCCAAGAATTTGCAATATATGGTAGTATAGTATCACTAGAGTTAGAAAAACTTTCTAGATATAACTAAAATTGTTCTGTTTATAAGTACAACAAGATTTAGTCTTTATCATAAAATAGAGTACTGTATTAAAGATTAAATGCAGCACTGAGTTACTGTATAATGTTAAGACCTGGAGCATCTGCAAGAATGATAGCAACAGATCTGACTTGAAATATGAATTGGTCAAAAAGACTAATGACAGCAGCAGGTCTGGCTTGAGATACAGGTTCATTGCAGATTTTGGACTATTGTCAGAACTCTTTAGAGAAATTAATAATAGGCATACCAAAGATAGAAGATTATAAAAATTAGACATACTCGAGTAGAACCAATTTGGAAGTAGTATAATGACAAAAAGATAAGAAATATAAAGAACAAAATAATACTAGATATAGTTAGATTAGGAGGCAAAAGAAACAAGACCAAATAAAACATGTAAGTGAGATACATAGGCACAATTTACAGAAGATAGTACTTCTGGTATTTGAAATGCTATATTAAGTTTGGTAAGTATTTTTGTCTGTGTAGCAGTTTAAAGTATGCCTTAACTGCAAGTAGTTGTCAAGATAATTGTATACAGGCATGCAGTAGACATGCACTTAGGTGCAATAAGGGTAATCGAGTAAAGTTAATAGTAGTGTTTGAAACCGGTTTTATTTTTATTAACTGGTTTTAATACCTTTTTAAAAATCAAAACTGAATATAAACCAGTTATATTAAATCCGGTTAAATCTGGTTAATCAGTTATATTTAATCGATTAAATCTGATTAATCAGTTATATTTAATCGATTAATCGGATTAATCAGATCAATCGATTATATCGATTAGTTATATTACCATTACAAGTGTTTTTAAAAAATTGACCAAATGATTGTTTGGCCAGTTCGATAAGTTTCGATTTGGTGGTTATAAACACCTTAGTCTCAATTCAATCACATTTTTCAGAAATTTGCAGATAAAAAATACAAATAAGAAAATAGCTATTAATCATCACGAAATAGAAATATATATGAATAAGTTATATAATAAATAGATATATTAATTTTCTGGCTTCAAGATATTTTTTGCTATTAGTAGGTAGAAGATCATTCTCTCTGAAATACATAAGATGTTCCCAAATCTGGTTCATCCTCTCACTAGGAGTTTCATCAGTATGAACTTGAGGCATCTTTATATATTTATCTCACCTCTCAGATCCTGATTATTCATAATATGTGAATACTCATTCACTTCTAATTCCATTTTGATAACAATTACCAACTTCATATGTTCCATCAATATTTCTCTTCGTGATTGGGGTTAGAGAGGATGTGAAAAAAATAAAATAAATAAAATCTCGTCAAATACCGACTTGAAATATTCCACGAACATTGCCCATATCAGCTGAATTATATTAAAAGGCATCCCAATATATAGGGTTCTTACCTGAAGATTAGGGTTCTGCAAGTGCTGGGCACATACTATTAAAAATGGTGCCTGGGCCTGTGCCTGGCACTATGTTTAATAGTGCCCGTGCCTGGCACTTGCAGAACCCTACTGAAGATATTTCAAAGTCATTCCACTCATGCCAATCGTTATAGTTGATTAGAAATGAAATAAATGCAAGACATAAGTTATGAAAAATCATATCAATATACAATTTATACAATACACAAGCATATACACAAGTCTGAAATGTAAGCAAAACTTTATTATTTTTTATTTATTTTTTATATTTTGCTAGAAATCCTTGCCTTGCTGGCTCCAAATCTTTAATGAGAATGTATATTAGCTTTGTCTATTTTGACAGATATGAATATATTTTATAATGAATTTTACGGAACCATTGCACTTACCAATATGACTCTGCCAATTATTTTTTAATTTTATTCAAGAGCCTAATTTAGGGGGGAGATATTTTGGCACTTGTTCATCTTCATTATCATCCTCATTGCTATTCCTATCTGACTCGCTATTGGCAAAAAGAGAACTGAACATCTGCTTTTGTTTGATGATAGTGTTATGTATATAAAAGACGATACTATATCGATTTCCAGCAATGATCAGGAGATTTCTGTGAATTAAGATATTAGAATGAAAAGCAACTCCATAACCTTGCTTGGCATGAACAACCAACCCTAGTTCAGGAAATGTTAATTCCCCATCTTCAAATTCACCGAGAGGGTAAACTACACATAGTGTATTGTGATGGTCTTTCAAATCTCTATGGAACTGGGAGATGGCATTAAAGTTGATGGCAACTTTGGGAAAAGCTCCAAAAGATTTTGGAACGTTGGGCCCAAGATTGAGCTTCTCCATCTTAGCATATAAGGTTGGATAAGTGTTATGAATATAGTTGTTGACCATATTAGAAAGCAGTTGTAGACCCTTGATTAGCTCATAGACACACCCTACATGTTCTAGGCAATGGCTAGAAGCAGTATTAGCTGTAGTATAGGGTTCAATATTGCTATCAGTAAAACTGCCAAAATATTCTATTAGGTGCTTAGAGAACTGCTTAGATTGGTAGAAGGGGTGGGCGAGAGTGTAAGTGTAATATTGATCTACTATCTTTAGAGACTTTTTTACAACTATAAGATCAGAGAGACCGAAAAAATCGACCATAGTCTCTCCAAGTGCATTTTTAAAACATTGTGGTTTGAAGATATGGTGATAACCTTTAAAATCGATTTTATACATAACTCTCTTCGTCATATCCTCTGCGATATTAAGTTTATCCTGTGGGTTTTGTTGTAATATTTCATGAATATTATGTTCAAGGGTTTTATTTTGATCTTTTGCACTTAGGTATGCATGCTCAATTTTATACCATAAATGATGGCAATAGTTGCGAAACTTTTTTTTGAAGTTGGGTCCTATAAAAAAATGCGCCCAACATGCAAATTCTCCCCACCTATCTACTTCTAAATCAAGTGTATTTTTTTTATTATTACTATCTAGACTAAAAACGTTAGATTCTAATATATACATAAAATCTGAAGGAATTTTTTGAAAAGGTAAGAATTCATTACTATCATTGTTTTCGTATAATTCACTATAACTCACATTCGAAAGCATATCTAACTAGGAGTTAGAAAAAGTACTAAGTTTAAGGGTATAAGTATCGAGCTTTACCGTATTCAGAGGAAATAACTTACTATCAATCAACTTTTTAACAATCTGGCATTGCGTCTTCTTCTCTAGAAACTTTTTTATAAATGTAAATTGGGGGCTTATAACATTAGTCATTTGAGATTTATTAATTGATTTAAGATCTTCGGCCAAAAAATCTTCAGATACCCAAAAGGAGTGTATATATTTACATGATTGATCCTTTGTAGACAGATGCGTCTCACCTTGGGTTTAATGCTAAATTATAAAAAATTGTTAATCTGAGTTCATATTTTCGATTAATCTAGATCAAAATTTTCCAGTGGATACAATCATTCTTCGCAATGTAGCTCAGTAGTTTTAAACTGCGGAAAGTCTTCGTGACCTTCCTTTCCTCGCATACACTTGCTTAGAAAGACAACGATCATGCCCAAGAAAATTTGAATTAAAATAAAATGGAGCTTTATAAGGGAGGGTTCAATCGGCCCCTAGACCTGCCTTGAAAGGTGATGACTGTCCCTATTCTTCAAGCCAAACTTTATTTATTGCTATACTACTAAAAATAATATTCTCAACTACATGTTATAACTTACTTTTTGGGGGTTATAAAATATTTCTTTTTGTTTGTCACTATCATTGCCTTCACTATCATTATTATTGCTATAATTGTTGGTGCTGAGGGTGGTTTCATTATTCATTGACGGGTTGGTCTGTTTTTCAAGCTTCACCTTCTTAGTTCATCATAACTTCTAACGCAAATTTCATTTCAAGGCCTTTGAATTAGTGGGGCCAAACACTTGCATATTTTTTTATTACTAATGGGTGGGGTCAAAAGCGATACAAATCAATGAGCCGTTAGAGTCAAAATAACCCCAGAGCCGATGTCCTGCTCAAGAAGATTTAGTAAACACTTTTGCAATTGATTATGAAGCCTCAAAGTAGGTGACCACAATATTTTTTTAAATAAGTATTTATAGAAGATTCAAGCGATTTGGGTGGGTACATATGAAAAAGCAGATATAGCGCCATTTTACCTTTTGCTTAAGCCAGCATATGCCAAGTCTATGACAAATATAGAGATATTTCGTTACATCTTTACTATTAGACATTTGGCAATAGAATTCATTTGGGTCTGTGTCTTGAAAATGATGTTGTGGAACATAGTAATTACTATGTCCCATAACATCATTTTCAAGGCACAGACCTAGATATATGAACTGAACATTGAACAGATAATATAAATAATTTATGGGTTACTTTAAACTGATGAATATCCATAGATTCCGTAAATTATTTATATTATTTAAAATTTATGGGTTACATCACTATATCTAGATACAATAATGTTATTTGTTAAAATATTATAATACTGCAATGAGATAGGACAGCCTCTTGTTTGGTGTTGTTATAAAGTAATTTTAGAAATAGGATACTACATAGTAAAAAGAAGGCCAGTATATTATTATTCACTTTCATTTATTAAATTATTAAAATAATCTTGAAAAGGGTTCTTTAAATTTTAAACTGTTCTCAGGAATTGATTTTGTCAACCAATTAAATAAAGCATTTTTTATCAATATAAATTAAATATTAGTAAAAGATAATATTTATGTTTAGCATTGCCAAATGAAAACAAAAAGCTTAAGCCTTTATTTGATATCAGACAAATCTGATTCAATTATATTTAAGTTTTATTAAAAGCATTACCAGGAACAGAGTGATAAAATCATGAAGTGTATGGCTTATATGATGTTTTAATGGGATCTGTTCGCAAAATCTTAAGTTTGATTGGTTCGCGTGATTTATTCATCAAATTTTGGTTATTTTGCATGTATGAATAGTTGCGATAACTAATGATAGTACAAAAATACAATACTATAAATGGAACATGTAAATATTAAGATATATAATAAACATATATCATAAAATTCTGAATAAGCACTTACGGTTAGATGGATGACTTGCATATTTTTTTTATAGAAAAAAACTGATTTTTATATATAAAAAAATTGCGCGGATTACCCATCTACTTATGGCAGTAAATAAGTACTTCTACAATAATGTTCTATACATAAGTGTCACGTAGTTGCAGAAATGCCCCTATACCCAGTACGGGGAATGTTGTGTGAGAATGATATCTTATATAAATGAGAAGAAATAAAGAAACAGATTGGTAAAGTGAAAGGTAATGGTAAGATACATAAATGTGAAATGAACATCTCACATGAAGCACGTGGTATCATCGAAGAGATCAATTGCATCAAGTTGGCGTGATTGTATTGGTGTGTAATGACAAGATAGTTAATGCAAAATTGATTATTAATAATATTAATAACAAAGTCAAATATAGTATAAGAAAGTTTAATGGATCAATGCCGTAAATAATGTAATTGAATTAATTGAATATAATATAAAGAGTAGGGTCAAAGAAAGTAAATAAAGAAAATTAGTCTTTCGCTCATAAAGAAAATCATAAAAAATAAAATACTTACACATCTAACGAAAGCACAAGTCTTGGGGTATATTCTACTATGACGAAGGTGTTTTATTGAGTTATACTTGTAGTAACAACCTGCTATTACTCTACCTCACAACAATAAGTACAGTCAAATAAACTTTAAATTAATTATGTTTTCTATGATTGCAATCGTGGAACATGTTAACAATTTTCAAATAACTAATGAATAAGCACCTTCATTAATTAAAAAAATAGTGCTTATTTTCCGAGTTTACAGTATATATTATGCAACTATATACAAAAATATGAATATATATATATATTCTAATAATGAGGTTTAAATTAGGCAAGTATAATTAATAGTAATGTGTCTAATAAGTTTAAAGTAGAAACTAGTTATAAGGTTAAATGATTATATGTCAAGAAATATCTTGAGATTTGGTTTATATGAATTTGAAATAATCGTAATATACAGTCAATTTTGAGCAGTCTTTCTGTTTAAGGTAAGAAAACTAGTATCAAAGTTTATTATTAGAAAAGCAAATTATAATCACCAAGGGTACCAAAAAATTAAATTTTATTACAATTATCTTATTACAATTATATAATTGTTACACAAAAAATAATTAAACTGCAATTAATTAACTAATTGTGGCTGTGCCACTAATCAATTAATTGAATTCTAAATAATTGCAATTAATTGCCTTCCCAATTAATTATTCAGTAGGCCTGGTAATCACCAAGAAATTTATCAGTGTCCTTAATGATCAACTTATTTAAAATTTTAAAATTTAAAATCAAAAAAAGTTAATTTCAGAGAATTTAAAATTGAAAATTTAAAGTGAAAAAAAAATTTAAAAATTTAAAAATAAAAAAAAAAAATAAACAATTGAAAAATTAAAAGAAAAATTGAACCTTCAGATTGAATAAATAAGCTAACAGCTATTAAAAAACTGTTATTCTTGTGGTGAAAATATATCAAAATGAACTCTATTGTGTTTCAAAAACAAAACCTTATTCACTAAATCTGGTGACAAATGAGTTTGTTTTGCTGAGATATGGTTGCCGGTATCAGAAAACAATCTTTCGCTCAGCACAGAAGTTGCTGGAATAGAAAGATATTTGCGAGCCAATTGGGCTAAAACAGGCAAGCTACTTCTATTTTTTAACCACCATTCTAGGGGATCATCAATAAGTTTGATTTCTTTTAACTTTACATAGCACGTTACTTCATCATCATCTTCTACATCAACTTGTGTAGAATTTGATTCTAATTCATAAAAAAAATCGTTATTGTCATCATTATAATTACTGTCTACCAAATTCTCTTCATTGTCATCTGGAATAGTAAGGTTTATTTTTAATTTATTATACAGGGTCTTTACCAAATCCTGTGCTCTATTTTGCTCAACACTTGTTGCCCAATTGAAATGTTTGAACCTTGGATCAAGAAACGTAGCAACTAAAGCAATATTCGTTGGAACTGCCCATAATTCATCTAATGAAAGATAAATAGCAGCTCGAACTTTACAAAGTAAACCATCAGTAGCAACAGGAGGCAAATATTCTACCTGATCAGTATCTTCTAACTCAGCATTAGCAGAACATTTTTGTGTTCTTATATTTTGACTTCGACTTTGACCATGAGAGGCCATCCTTTGGCTAAACTGCCTGTGTGCATATTGCTATTGTTTACGAGTACCAGCAGTAGAAATATCATTATCAGATTCATCACTTTCATTCTCTTCACTTTTAACTTCTTCATAAATCAAATTCAAATAGGTATCAACTGTTTCATCTGTTTTTGGAGCAAACCTTTTTTTGAGTAATTCCATATACAGATAAACAAGATTAATAGTCGGATATTTAGCACCATATAAGCGTCGGGTTACTCTTTCAATCAGTTCTAGTAAATTCACCACATCCTTTAAAAATCTATATAAAAAAAAAAATTTTTTTAACCTTTTATTAAAAAAAAATAAAATTAAAAGTCTTTATTTTAAATATTTTACTTCAGAGTATGGGGCTTATTTGACTGTGAATATTGTGGTTATGTTTAGGATTCTGCAGGTGCCAAGTACGGGCACTATTAAAACATAGTGCCAGGCATGGGCACAGGCATCGTTTTTAATAGTACATGCCTAGCACTTGCAGAACCCTGATTATGTTATATTGTTATTATAGATAAGATTTATTATTGTTATAAATAATTTTACAGAAACAAATAAGCCCATACTCTATAGATAAAAAGAGCAAGTTAACATAAATAAAAAATTTAAAATTTGGAAGTTTCAAAAGCTTAGACAAAATAAGAAAAAATAATTCAAATTTTAAAGAACAATATTTATAATTAATATTACAAAACTAAATAAATTTATAATTACTCTTTTTCACTAACTGATAAGCACAATTTTTCTAGTTTTTCACCTTCTTTTTGCAAAGCACGATCTGATTTAGAAAGTAACGAAGTTGAAACAAATTGCATCACATTATGCAACTCCAAGACACGTTTCCAAGCCAAATAAGTAGAATTTAACCTCATTTTTATATCAGTTATAATATCAAGTGGACTTTCAATAATATTTTGATCCTCATCATATACACTAAATTCATATTGTGCTTCACGTAAACGTTGTGCCTGTTTAGGGAGTCAAAAAAAAGTCTGTAAACTTTTAATATGATAATGAATAGCTTTATACTGTTTTAGTCCTTGTTTTACTGATAACTGCAATGTATGTGCAGCACAAGGCTGATGCTCCACATCATTAATAATTTCATGCAATAACTTTATTCCTTTAACCATATTAGCCCTGTTATCCATAACTACAGTAAAGACCATTGAATCAAGATGCCATTCATGAATTAATTGAATTAATTCCTTACAAATTACATCTCCAGAAAGTGGATATTTAAGGTGGTCACAAGAAATTAGGGCCTTTCTGAACTTAAACTCAGAAGATAACCAAGTTGCAGTAACGCCTAAATAGCCATGGCGAGATTTTGCTGTCCACAGATCAGTAGACAAATGAATAGCTGTTGCATTACTACTAATTAGAGACTTTAGTTGATCATTACTCTAATTATATGCTTCATGAATTAATCCTTTAGCTGTTTTATCACACAGCACTCGGAATCCAGATTCACAGACATAAACAAATTTGTGAAAAGATTAATCTTGCAAGATATAAAGAGGTTGAATGAACCAAATAATAAATTGGATTAATTTCCTCGCGATTAGTTGTTGCCTTTGTGGTAGACATAGCGATGCTGTGTTATTGTAATAGTCAGTAACTTTGGATTGATCACATTTTGGCTAAAAATAATCTAAAGTTAATTATCTTAATTGTTTTTAATACATTACTAATAAACTTAAAAATTTTACCATGTTGAATGGCATAATTGAATGCTACTCAAACTGCTATTCAAACTACCATTCAACACTATCACATGATTTTACGACATGTATATTTGCGAAATCATGTAATACTGTAATAATGTTGAACAGCAGTTTGAATGACAATTTGAGTAGCATCCAAATTATGCCATTCAACATGACAAAATTTCAAAATATTGTATATACTTCATTGTGTTTATCCAAGTGATCAGTATAGTTATCTTTGGTTATATTGTGCTTGTCACGTAAATGGGCAATCATATTCGATATGTTACCACCTTTATGAGTATATGGATAGGGAGTTTGCTGAGAGCCAGCAAAGTTACGCACACATATTTTACAGTATGCAAGTTCAGCATTGTCTTTATCTATACTAAAAAAAAAACTGGTATAGCTTTTATTACTATGCACAACTTTAGCATTAGCTTTTCTCTTCTTGCGACTTGTAGTTGATAATGTTGATGCCGTTGATGGCGTAACATTAGACTCTTCGTTGTCTGAAAAAGAAGGTGAAAACATTCTTTTTGATTTTTGTTTGTCAATAAAATTAAAATTTAACACTATCGTTATTGTTATTGTTTTATATAGACTCCATTCTGTATAGAAAGTTCATAAAACACTTATATTTATTCAGTAATGCTATTCAAATCCTTGTAATTAACCTGTTAGTGTAATAAGTGAAAAGCATTTACTTTGTTATCTTGCATGAAGGAAATGGCTTGATTAGGATATAGGTGAGGATTTATTGCAACTACGTATGAATCCTAATTAGATGAATAGCTATTTGATTATAGGTTTACTTCGTTTTCTTATTAATAACTTTTGCATCAGATAATACGAAGCTCTCATATTTACAAATGAATTTTGTATAATCTTTATATCAATATTTCTCAAGTTGATCTCAATTAGGAAGACATCTAAAGTCTGACACTGTCTAGTTTTTTGATTTTTAATTAATATTAGGGTTAACATTATATATGGGCTATAAGGTTAATAGATATATAGTAAAATTGCATTTCTGACACTTTTACTTAGTGCATAAAGACTGGTTTAGATAGTCATTTTTTATATTTTTGTGTTTTTGGCTTTATTGGGTTGTTCGAAATAATGTGGGACATATATCGGGTAGTTTCGTAAGGTATCAGGCTTTAGACGACCTCTCAATTAGGTATAATTATTAATTTAAAAAATTTTACCAATCTTATTAATCT